CCCCAAAACCCCAAAACCCCAAAACCCCAAAACCCCAACTTGAAAAATAGCAAGAATTTGGGGGATATTTTTAATAATAATGATTTATATATTTAAGATGAATTGAAGTCAAGTGAATAATAAACTCAAGCAGAGTTGTAGAACAAACTTATCATTAATTCAGAGAACTCAATGATCAGATTAGCTTTTCAAATAAGGCTGTAGACCTCAATTTCAGCTAAATAAAAATTCACCTGACCGAAAAGATAAGTTCTTGCTTCATTACTCCCATAGGTTATCCCAGCAGGGAGTTAGTAGCTCTTTCCAAGATAACTATAGCTATCTTCTCTTTCGTTGGAATTTGAGCAAACAAATAAGTCTCCATTTATTCCAAAATTTGGACCGTAACTTTACTAGTCATAGTGAGCCTCTTTCTATTCTTTGATTGGCAAAACAACCTAAAGATCTGGTGAAAAAATAAATGCTTTCTCATCCATAGCTGTTATACCAATAGATGTAAAAGAGGCTGATGTATATGCTCCAGCTACTCTACCATTTTAGGACTTTAAAATTGTTATTGTAGGCCCTTAATAATCACAGCCTTAGTGAAAGCTGGATGCGCTGAACCCATCAACTGTTGCTCTGTAACAGATTTTAGAAATAGAGTGCATTTTGTTTATAAGTCCTTAAACATACTAAATGTTTGTTGAGTTCAATATCATAGAATCTGCCAAAAGTTAAGGTCTAAATCCATTCTCTGTAAAGCGAACGTTCTCATAACGATTTTTATCTATAGTATTTCTAATTCTACCTTTAGAATCAACAATTGAGATAGAGATTTCATTGAAAGCTGCAATTTTTACTCCAAATGAATTATTAACATCGTACCATTTTCCTCTTACTGGCTCCCATTTAATTAATTAAAAATCGGTTTTCTCAGAATTTTATATGCAACTAAGGGCCCACAGACTACCGTCAGCACCAACAGTCAAATCTTTGATGCATTGATTACCATAACCAACGGTGGTGCTATTTTCATCAACAAATATTGGTACATCATCTTTCATAGCAATTAGTGTGGAGGTTTTTGATGAATAAAGAATGTATTAGTAAGATAGAGGTTGGTTCCATTAAGCTTTTACAATAATCAATGTATTGAGTTTTGTCTCTTTATTCGATTATTGAATAGTTTAAGAAATTGCATAGATTTAACCATTTGATGAAACTTCAAAATCCTTAATATCATTTAGTAAAATTGAAGTTTTAGAATTCTTTGCATATAGTCTATTCTTAGTATCAAGTAGATAATAATTTCCCAAATTATCAAATTTTATATCTTTAATTTAGAAATCATTGTCAAATGAAGTCCATTCTCCATTGTCAAGGTTGAATTTGTAAGCTTGTCTATATTTGTTTGGGCCAACACTATACTCAGTAATTCCATAGAGCTCTCCTGAAGGTGAGGCTGAAATATCCACAATTTTACTAAAAGGAACCCATTCTAAAGCTGTAGCTTCATTCCATCCAAATGTGTTCTTAGGTTCATTTACCCATAGAGATTGAGTATTGCTAACTGCATCTTAAGCAGAATTTTGGGGTTGAGCAATTAGAGCGTACGAAATTGCAAGTCCAATAGAAAGCATAGCAGCATCTCGAATATATCTTCTTATCTAAGCTTTTTTAATCTTTTGAGCAGCAGATTAAGGGAGATGACCGTCAATCAAGTGAGCGTTGTTCATATTCCAAGATATTTAGAGAATTTGAATCTTTTAAGTAAATAAAGTTGAAATTATTAATATATAATACAAAATCACATTTAAATTTA